GTGTGTGTGTGTGTGTGTGTACTTGTTTTTGTTACCTTTTTAGGACCATCTCTGGTATACACACCTATCTTGTCAAGACTAGTAGTACTAATGCGAACCAAAGACCGGTCCTAATATGGTGGAACTACATTTTTTGGATTGGGGGTCAGGTTTAGGTGTGAACTGAGTTTAGGTTAGTTTTAGGGTAAAGTGGGTCAGGCTATAAAAACTACTGGAAATGAATGGAAGTCAATGAACGGTCCTAATAAGGATAGAAATACAAACTGTGTGTGTGTATTTACTGCAGGCAAACCGTTCTGCAAATAAAACTTATTCCTGCTGAGTTCAAACATTTTGGTGATTTTTCAAGGCATCCAGTCAGAAACAGGTTTTATTTTATTTGAAACAAAATGAATAAAAAACATGAAAATAATGGAAAACTCAAAGATTACTAATTATAAGATTACTAATTATAAGATAACTAATTATCTGGAGGACTACAGATGTAAATTAGCCTTAGGCTAAATCTGGTGCAATGCATCAAATGTTTTTATGTTTATGTTTAAATTGCACATTGTCCCGACTAAATAAACTAATTCATTCATTCATTCAAGTCATGAAAAAATGCTTTCCATAAGGTATTGCATTCCATTAATCAGCTTGTTCTTTAACTTACAAAAATGCTGCTTCATATAATCTAATGTTAACATTTATAATATAGCTTATCAAGTAATTAAGGCTTAATCACAAATTTTAACTGATATATGTTTTGTTTTGTGTTTTTCAATAAAGTCCAGCTTACAGAGAGACTCTGAGGAAACCCTGAGCCAACAACCGAGGCTGAACACACTGTTTCCGGGGTAAATACAGCTCCTCATCTTTTTCTTTGCAAAATTCATATCATACGGTTGTAATTATTAATTGTGTGAAAAACCATTTGTACCCTCACTGACATTCAAGATTCATACGTCCTCTGCAAGGCTTTTTTTGTCGGCAGGCGTTGCATTGTGGGTAATATGGCTCTAGGGTACAGAAACCTGTCTGTGTCGCTGCAGCTCGGAGGTGCATCAATTCTTGCTCCATCCACTTTCGTCAGACATCACATCTCGTGGCGAGAGCCCTGCGGGCGATCGACTTAGCATGTTTAAGTTTTTTAGTAATTACGGACTGCCGCGCCGGCTGACATGATAAAATCAGGAAACTGCTGTATGCATCAGCATTTCGCGCCGAGCCGGGCTGCGTGTGGGTGGGTGGGAGTCGGACACCAGCCCTGTCAGATGAATGTGGTTTGGACTTTAGCGAGATGACCTCCTCTGACAGCCTTGAACCCTGTAAATTCTTTCTGATATCAATAGTGGGTGGCTATTAGACATGGGAGACTTTCTTTGCATCACCCAGGGCTACATCTGCCTGAAATTGAATGAGAAATGATTTCACTTTTCACTCCCCATGCCTATGAACAAATAAATAAATAAAAAATAAATAAAAAATGAAAGACGAGACACACAGCAGACTTGTGGTTTTGGTAACAAATGTGTAATTCATTTGTTTCCACTGTTTCTGATTTAATGGGGGTTGAGTAATTGCATTAGGAAGCACATTGTGCCTTGTTGTGAACTGATGAAAGCTCATGTAATACTTTTGATAGGCAAACAGAGGGGAGGGAGAGAAAAGAAAGAAAGATCCAGTGGCTGCCTTTGATGCGGTGCATTTATTTGCTGAATTATCCTTCCTTTAACAAGCATCTTATCCCCAGACCCAGGCAGGCCGGGGCCCCTGTGATATTGCTTTATTTTGAGGAATTAAGAGAGGTGGCGAGGAGACAGAGCAAAGCAACCGCTTATTACATTACCACTGATAAGATTGAAAGGCAGGATGAGAACGACACAGAGGAAAGGTGCAGGGAGACACACACACACAGACACAGAGAGAGAGAGACTCGATGGAAATGTTTTTTTTTTTTTTTTTTGTGGCATTATTAGATTGAGCTGCTGTTGGCTACAGAGTAGAACAACAGAGGGTCCAAAATGCAGGTGGTAGTTAACAGGGTTAGCCTTGTGCAACTGTGTGTCATAGAAGTGATGGTGTATGGCAAACCATTTGTGTCTTTAATCAATGTCCTTGTTATAAGCAGTGTTGTGTAAAGTACCTCAAAGTGATACTTAAGAATAATTACAAGTATTTAATCATAAAATTACTTTTAAAGTAAAAGTTAGTCTCCTCTGAAAATATTACTTCTGTAAGTCTTAAAGTATCTGATTTTCTTTATACTTCTTTATACTGACAAAATTTGCACTTAAGTATTAAAAGCATTGAGTAAGAATTATATATTTGATATATAAATTTTATTATATTTTCCAAAATGACTTTTATTGGGTGACCTCTCCAAAACACGGTTTCCTAAAGGGCTGCGGCTATGAGCATCCAACCACAATTGGTACTGAAAGAAAATTATTAAGCGTGTTCSTTTACCATTTTATGTGCTTGAATCACACAGAGAATGTACCAATAYRTGGAAACTCAATGTGAAAGAGTCATACAACAGCACAGAGCAGCTCCGGCTGAAGGCAGCTTTTATTCTCGGTCTGCGTTCAGGCCCCGTTTTCCGGAAGTCAGTTCAATATAACAGGATCTTCAGGACATGACTCCACCCATTTTATTGCATCATCAGGATGGGGTCCMTAACCTTGCKYGAGTCATGTCCACAGACAAAATGTCCTGACCTAATGAAGATCAACGGTTCAGTTTTGTGTTGAATCTGTGTTCAGGCATGCATCTACATAAAATCATCAAGTCAAACAAATAATCACATTATAAAATATATTACTGTTCTAAAAATATATATACCATTAAAATCAGTATATAAGCAGACCCCAATACATTTCTTCAGTACAATTTATCAAAATAGTATTACAAGCCAAAATGAAAGGAGTAATGACTTTCTACTTCTTACCTTTTTTTAAATGTAAGGACAGATAATTGTGTAAAAATGTAAGAAATAGCCTGAAAAACGATTACTCAAGTAAAGTACAGATAAACAAAATTTCTATTTAAGTACAGTAACAAAGTATCTGTWCTTGGTTACGTTACAACTCTGGGTATAAGGCATCATTCTCCCCCACTGTTTAATGATTAAACTGCAGTAGTAGAAAATTTAGTTGCATCATTTTACCATTTCGGTGCACTAGTTCAACAAATTTTCTTACTAGTACACTTTTTTAAAAAAAAGTGGTGCTTTTGTAAAACTAGGTGAAGCAGAAGTCATACTAGTCAGCAGTTTTGCCTCAGCTCAGCTCCAACTTGTGAAGCAAAGTAGCTGCGTTTCCACTGACCATGAAAATGCTCAAATTAGAATTTCGAAAATAAATTTGCTCATTGGAAACACGTCAATTTCGAAAAAAAAAATGTTTTTCGATAAAATGCTTTTGTGCTAGAAAGAGGTGGTTTTCCAGCCATATCGAAATTGATGTATTTCGCAAAACTGCAATGGAAACACTTTTTTTGCATCACATGAGTGACGTGATCAAGAACCAGCTGTTTCTACTGGCGAAAATATGAAGAAGAAGAAGAAGATAACAGGAAGTAAAAGTAGTAGTGAAATCACCGAAGTAGTAAAAGAAAGTATTAAACTCACCGACTACAATTTCCCAAAAAGCCTGCAAACGTAGCCACTCCCAAGTAGGGACTTGTCTCTGGAAAGACTCGATAAAAGACACCGAAGTCTCCTCTGATGATGAGCGCTAGTGTCGTGGTAGCAACATGCTATGTGTTTACATCCATGGCCRCCATGTTTGTAATGACTTGTCGCGAGAACAAACGTATTCACGCGTGGCTTTAATAGCGTTTCTTAATGGAAACACTGCAGTTGCGAAACTGTTTTTTCGACATTAACAGAATATCAACAAAGTTTTACAATGGAAACACAGCTAGTGTCCCTAGTCAGCACAAAGTGCTTCAAGACTGTTTGTTGAACTAGTGCAGCAAAACTAGTGCTGCTAGTGTGACCGAAAGTGAAAAGTGCAGAGAAAATAAAAACGGTGCAAAAATGATGCTTTTTTATCAAGGGCACTGAATAAATACACAAACAGTGTGTCACATTTGTGTGCTTTGCAGCAAAACCCTGGAAAGCCCATCACTCAGAGTGCTTGGGGAAGGACAAGAGGAAGCGATGACCAAACTAAACCTGATGACGGAACTCCCAGAATGCTTCACTTCGGCATCACAGCCCCTGTGGCAGGTAAACAGCAGCGTTAGTGAACTGAGAAACAAACGTTAAAAAAATGGAATCTGTGCTCTTAAAGAGTTCGAGTCGATATTGATCCTCAGTTGTTTACAAATCCTAAAAAGTCAAGTTTTGTTTGGTAAAAAAAAAAAAAGTCAAATGATGTAATTAAGTGAAACCTAGGATGAATGGGACTTGTGAGAGAATGCTGAATTAAAAGCAGCTATTTTCTTGTATTTTAAATAAGTTCTGTGTCTACACAGAGGCACACAGAAGTGGATTCAAAGGCTTCATGCTAACCATACAAGCACATTATTTTCCTTCAGCATACAAGAAAATAAAGCTTTTGTACCGCGTGCGAGTGTCTTCAGTTTAAGGAATWTAAGTAGGTGGGAAATCGAGCCTTAAAAGATGGAAAGAAGACAAAAGAGGAAGAAGGAAGCAAGTGAGGAAAGCAGAAGTGCAGTTTTAGCAGCAGCATCCCCAGCTGTGGGAGGAGTGTGCTGTTGTGTTGCATCTGGGGATGAGTCTGCCATGCCACCGTGCTGGCTTAAAGATGTAATGAATCTTCAGTCGGGGGCTTTCCTTCCAGGGTGACAACTGGCTTTGAGGAAGGTTGTAAATGCAGGGGAGATTGTGGTATAATTCCTCAGACTGGCGTTTGTGCCCCCCAGTCACCATTCGATTATCTCCCAAATTGCTGTGTTTCACTGAGATAAAGATTTTTTATGGCTTGCTGACTTGAAACAACTAGCACAGGCAGAATAGGGGGCAAAGCAGGGAGAGGGGGAAAAAAGAAAGAAAAAAAAGATAGAGAGAAGCAATGGCCAAACCCACCACGCATAGTAATTTCTTTTGGTAATTGACAAAATCTTTGTTTGTATGACATTTCCTGAAAATTACTGCAGCGAGATGAATCTGAAATATAAAATGTCACATTTGGCATGCAAAACTATGAAAATATATTTCTGTGCAAAATTCATGGAGGCATTTAATTTAGAACGTGTTTAATAACTAAGGCAGCCTGCATCAGTAATCCTGCCCGGAGGTCCCGAAAAGATTGTCATATTTATTCTCTCCTTTTCTTCACCCCCTCCTTCGTTCCGAAGCCAAAAAAATTTAAGGGTAAATGTTCATTGTTAGTTAAGATTTACTAATTAAAATGAAAATAATTAACACGAAAGCTTAATCTCTGAATATTAGCCCGTACTTAGAAAGAAAGGAAGTTTTTGTATGTGGCATTTCCTGTCTCTATTAAGAGTGCATTTTGTGTGATCAGTCAATGTGTGGAAAGCCCTGAAAAGATGTTTCAGTGAAAGGACGGCCGCTTGCCAACAAAACCACGGAGGATCCCTTACTGGAGTCTTTGATCTCATCTGGAGGAGTGCTGTAATGTTATGGCACTTTAGGCACAACTCAGGCTTGGGGCAAACAAACCACCTCTGATATGGAAAATTGGCTCACTTCACCTTTTACCTTCTCCTTGCTGTATTCACTGTCTCTTCTGATGCCTGCGCAGTGATGTGGGCCAGATAATAACAATACTTCTTAAAGATGTACTGTACRCGCAGCAAATTAGACGCCGGTGAAAATGTTTTTATTTCTTTTTCTTTGCTTCTTTATTCCCCTTTTAACTCCGCCTCCTTGTTTTCCAGCCTGCATGCACRCATCTTTTTTGCAGTGGGAGCGTTGAGGCCTTCCTCACCTCCTCCTAAACGTGAGGCATGTGGGCTAAATCTCTTTACTGCCACTTATACTAATTTCACTTCTACCTAAAATGTTTTTGGTATCCAAAGGGATAATGAGGGGTTTTGCTGCAGGCTGCAGAACTTCCTACCTCACAGCCTCTGCAAGATGAATGTGTGTCTGTGTGGAGGGTCTGAGTCGGTGAAGACAATACTGGACAATTCTAAAATGTATGTGTAGTCATACACACACATTTATGTGTATACAAAAATAGATTTAGGAGATAAAGACTGAATATTATTTCTTAGTGTTATCTTCATCTGTGCCTCTCAGAGAAGCAGTCAAAATGTTTTGTTTTAAGAAGTCAATAGATCATTTGTTGTTACAGATTTGTTTTATGTCAACAGACCCATCATTATGCTCATACATGAACTGTAAAACTAGTGCAACACACTCTACAGAATGACCAGAATAGCAAACATAGTTCATGCATGAAATCAGTCATAACAATAGTTGTTAATAAGTTATTTTCAATTAAAAGAAATACAATTTTTTTGCAGTTTTAGGTGACCAGGGAGGATAACTGACATTGATACCCAGCATAATACAATAAATACAACCAGTGATACTATGAGCCTTTAGCTGTGTCCAAAATCAGGGTATCTCCTGTCACCTATCAACCGTGATAACGCTAAACAGAAGCAAAAATAGATCAAAATTAGCAAGATATCAATATATTAATTTTATAAATATCCTAAAACAACAAAATTAGCTTAAAGTTAATATTTGAAGAACTAAAGGGCCTGCCATACAGGTGCATGTTTATTTCTCTATACAAGTTTGTTTGATTTCAGACAAGAATAATATTTAAAAACATGTGATAATGATGAAAGCATTAACAACACAACTGTTTGAAACTTTCAATTTCATACTGCCAATTTTTTTTAAAAATCGTAGTTTGTCACTTCATCTGCCRTTACGAGAAGGATAAAAACAAATCTCTGGTCGACCCACAATGCATTATGGGATATGGTGCGCTGAGAGGGATCCATCGGACCCGTCCCTCAAATCRGGGGGAAAAAGGACACATTTGTTGAACTGGAGGAGTCTTCAAATTTGGACAGCCTCMGGCGCGGCGCTGTGACGTAAGCGGACGACAAATTTGGTCTTCGGAGGACGCAGCCTCTGAATTTGGACACAGCCTTTATTTAAATGAGAACACACCTGACCCATCACGTTAAACATGATGAAGTCATATTCAGTCAAAATGACCTCAGCACATTTTCAGATTCCTGCTTTTCAAGCTACATTTTGATCATCCTGACATGAGAGCTGTGCCTCGGTTTGTCTTCCTAATCAGGGTTACCCATTGATATTTGGTCTGAACGTTAYTTTTAAGTTATTCTAATGAGGAATTTKTGAGAGTTAAGAGTTCCCATCTGGTAGGAGAAAACACTTTGCTGGCTCACAGGGGATGTGTGCACTTTAAACAGAACTGATAACAAATCAAACCATGAATCCACTTTGTGTTCCACAGGAGAACCAGAGGAACGTCCCTCAGCCCGCAGAGGTGTGCGTGCGCTGTCTGAGGGCCACGAGAGACAAACTTCCTAAGGGTCTCTATTCCGTCAGCGTGGCCCTTCACAGCCATCTGGGGGGTCCGGCTCTAGCCTTGCACAGCAAGAAAGAGCAGCAAATCTGGGCGGTGTCCACTGAGCCGACGGAGCACCGAGGCCGCTTCTACGACAAYACTCTGCACATCAACCAGAGCCTGTGCATGGTACGCAGTTTGTTTTCTTCWATTTCACAGTTGATGATTTAAATATGATTATAATGATGATAATTATGATTTAAATATGGCATTAATGCTTTTTTATGAAGCAGGAAGATTTAGAATGTTTTAAGTCAAGTACAGTAGTTATATGCATTTATTTATCCAGAGCTTATAATAAAAAATATTTTTATTGATAAAAATTGACACATAGCACAAGTATTATTTCAAATCTTCCCATCTATCCTCCACTGCAGATATGTTAATGTAACATTTGCAACAACTAATCAGCTTACACAGAAATGCCTAAAACTCAGTATTTAACAGAAATTGAGCTAAACTTTGTTGTGGTTGTAGCTGACACCTCAATTCTGCAGAACTCCATATGAATAAAACAACCCCTCAAACTCAACTTTCTAAGCATGCATGTAAATCCAACCATAYGTCAGCTGTTGCTTTATATTACCAAAGTCAAACATTAAATAAATAGTAACATGTACATGTTTTTTTGCACTTTTTAGTTTCTGAGCTTTAAAAAAGGGGGACAAAGGCAAAAGTAAAGAAAGTTGCACCATATCTGAGGAGTGTTAAAACATCTCAGCCTCCATTTTCTTTACATAATAGAGGAATAAATACATTTTTCTGTTTTTGGTTCTTTTTAAAGAGCAAACCCAGCAGATTATATTAGATAAAATCTGTCCAGATTTCACAACAACGGTCCTTTAAAGCTCTCCATGTGAAGGAAGCCATCCTCTGTATATAAGCAGCACTAATCTTAAACAACCCACAGATTTATTCTGGATGGTCCACATTGACCGGTGGATTAGGACTCTTTGGTTCTGTTTATTCACTGAATTGATGTGTGCAGGACAAAAGATTCAAACCTTAAAAACAAGCCTGTAAATTCAGTGTCCTTCCTGATCCCATATAGACTCAGTGTAAGGCCTATCTGCAGCGTTTTGCACATGTGGACACTGTCAGCACACTGGTGGGTGTATTCACTGAGCTCAAGCTCTCTCATAATATTGTCTCCAGCTTCTATCTAACAAAAAAAAGGATGGGGGTAAAAGCTGGCATGAACTGAATGCAGACCTGGGATCTGATTCTGAAAAAAGGTTTAAGTAAGGCATAAAAATGCTTCATGTCACTCTTCTTTTCCCTCCTCTCCTCCCTAAACTCTGAGCTGTGCTTTATAGACAAACCAGTTGTTGTTATTCTCATTGACAGCAGTGGAAAGGCTGATCAGATTTGTTCGAGACTACTTGTTTAGCCGTTTTTTTTTTCTTTCTTTCTTTCTTTCCCACCCCTCTCTCCACTTGCCCACACTATAGCGTGCGATTTTAGAAATACTTGCAGTTCCTTCTCAGAGGAAATGAGGAATTAGTGATGGTAGGAGGAGGCCAGGAGCTTATTTTCCTTTCCTTCTCTCTATCTCTCTGCCACTTTTTTTTTCATTCACCATTTGCTTTGTCTGTCTGGGATGGATTAAGACAGAAACAGTGGAGTGCCTTACATGTGCAGGTTGGTGGGAACCCCCGAGAAGAGTTCAGGGACTGAATGTCCTCATTTAACTATAAGGCTGAAGGAAAAATGTGAGTGGTTTAATTAACGCAATAGTTATCTCGGTTGTTTAGGTTCTAAATAATTAATACCTTACCTGGTGTAGATACTATGTACTCTTTAGCTACTAGTCTGAGTGGAGCCAAGATCAAAGCTGCGTCAACTTAAATCGTGTCCAACGTAAAATATCTGATTTTTAAACCTTTATATTGTTGTCAAATTTTACCCAGTTATTCTAACAGAAAGATTAATATATTACAGCCAAACATGCCACAGGCTGTACTGGAAATGCTACAGCTAGCTGCTGCTGTTTGTGATTGAAAATATGGAATTCTATGTAAAAATCCACACAATGTAAAATCAGTTGTTTTTTAACAAAATGAATTACAACAGTGAAAGTTTTTGAGAATAGGTTGTTTTAAGTAAAGCAGCAAGTAATTTTTGATTTTCGTTTCTCATGAATTCTGGACAATTCAAACTTTTAGGAAAATATTTTTGAATGCACGTCTAGAAGTGCATGAATAACTTTTGAGGCCAACTCCATTCAAGATGGCTGCCACAGCCAAATGACCACAGAAAACCAAATTGACTACACTGCAGTCAATTGTAAATAATATTGTGCTAACATTTGCTGTGGTAGTAGCTGAGAGTTATTTATCAGTCAATCAATGAAAACTTTTTTTATATAGCACTTTACACACCTCAAGACAACCAAAGTGCTGCACGGCAAAATGTGAATACAATACATACTCCAACTTTGTCATAATAGATGTTATTGCAAATGGGATTTTTAAGGTTTAACCAAAATATCTGTCATTTCTCTACATAAGATGGYTGTAGTGTTAAACTCTGGTCCGACAGGTGGCCATGAGTTTGGTCCATATTTTTGTCTGTTGAAAGTTTACCTAACTTTTTTTAAGAAAAGAAGGTGACCTGTTAGTTCATGCAAGGGTTGTCCTTGTTTTTTTCCTTCTTTCAAATATGTTCTCAGTTAATACCACAGCTGGTTTAAGAAAATCCTTCGTAAACAGAGGAAGTGAGAAAAAAGCACATTGTCCATTCTCCCAAACCTGACGGTAACACGAGCCACTCGGCTCAAACACGAGCACATCTGCAGTGACGGCGTGCGCAGAYGCCACTATTCATGCAGCTCACCCCGACACCCGCTAATGAATTAAACAAATATCTTCAGTATCTGTAATCTGTGATATTCCTCCATTTATTTGTGTCACCAGTCACACACGGCTAACCCTCGTTTCACAGGTGCAATGCAGGATGTGTGTGGTGGTGAACGGGCTACACATAATTTATGCATTAAAACAAGTCCTCTGCATTTTCCATTACAACTAATAAAGGGATAAAATATTTGCAGCCAGTGATGGATGAACCGGTGCACACCTCACTGTCAGTTCATTTTTTAAGCAAACCCACTGTTCTCTGGGTAAATAAGGACGCATGTGTTCGCCATCCACTGCTAACCACCTACGTTTTTTTTTCTTTTTGCTTCACACAAGACACCCATAATATCATCAGTTTGATTTATGGTGGCCTTGCTAAAAGTGAAATTCGTTATCTGTCAGTTCAACAACAGCAGTCTGAAGCTGCCGTTCAGTATTTATCAGTTTATGTGGCCTTTCTGGCAATTAAATGTAAAATGGGTGAAAATTGTAGGKAAAATTAGCAACTTAGCATTCATTTAAGACTTTAACAGTTGCTCCTAAAATCCCTTAAAAGCAGTGTTGTATAAAGTACCTCAAAGTGATACTTGAGTAAAAGTACAAGTATCTTATCATAAAAATACTCCGGTAAAAATTAAAGTCTTCTCTAAAAATATTACTTGAGTAAAAGTCTTAGAGTATTTGATATTTTTTGTACTTAAATATCAAAAGTATATTTCTGACACAAAATCTACTTAAGTATTAAAAGTAAAAGTACTGAGTAAAACTGAGCAGTTAGATTTTCCAAAATGACATTTATTGGGAGGTGACTTCTCAAAAAAAAATTTTTTCTAACGGCGTGCAGCTGTGATGGGTTGTGTACAAGCTAATAGTGTGTCAGAATGGTATTTATTTATACTTCTCATCTAAACACAATTAAATTCACTCTATCCAGGAGACACAATTTACCAGGATAGTATTTTTAAGTATTAACAGCTACTAATAAAATAGGAGTAATGACTTTCTACTTCTTACCTTTTTTTTAAACATGTAGTGAGTAGAAAGTACAGATAATTGTGTAAAAATGTAAAGTAAAAGTAAAAAGTACGATGAAAAATAATTACTCAAGTAAAGTACAGATACCCAAAAATTTTACTTAAGTACAGTAACAAAGTATTTGTACTTAGTTACATTACAACTCTGCTTAAAAGCCTTTTGACATTATTTTTCTTTTATTTTGTAAGGGTGTCAAACTAGAGGTAAGAACCTAAGGAAGTCGTCTGACACCCTAGTTTTCAAAATAAAAGCCCCYGGTAGCATCTGGAAATGTTTAAACGCAGAAACCGCACCATTGTTGCCCACCAGTGGAACAACGACATTATGCATATCACCCAACATACAAGTAAATGTAATTTGTACAATAAGAGTCAGAGATGATCTTAGGCGTCACTGTTCATTTGAACTGTAGGATACTTTGTGTTTTTTTATGTCTGTAGAGCTTACCTGCTGCCTGCGACATCACCCCCTCTATGGTCTTAGTATTCCAGCTCATCAGCCGGCACAGCAGCCACATTAACTCTGTTCTAGCCTGGGGAGTATTTCCTTTGTGTGGGCCAAGCCTCAGCCCAGTGCAAGGCAGGTTAGTTCATTAAATACCTTCAATGCAACATTTTTTATACTAAAATGGAAAAAACAAAAGACAAAAAAAGGCCAGGCAAAAGTATATACATTATCTTAACTTGTGACAGTTCATCACAACAAATGTTTCCAACTAACTAAGAAGGAAAAACRAGCTTTATTTACATGAATGTGTACTTCAACCATCAAGTGTCTGGATGCAACTGTGATCACAACCAGTCTGCCTCACCCACCCAGGTTCAGAACTCCACTGCTCAGGGGCGAGCCCAGCACACGACTGGACCAGTTTAAGAAAATCGAAGCGCTCATCTCCTCCGATCTGGACCACTGGCTGTGCAACCTGTATTTTCAAGTGCGTGTTTCATTATCGCCGGAAAGAGAAGGGGCGATAATGTTTTTTGGCTTGTGTGTCTGTGTGTTCATTTGTTAAGAATGTTTGCAACAAAAAAAAAAAAAAAAACCTCTAACTACCGGACGGATCTCTGAACTTTTGCAGTCAATCCAATTCAAGATGGCTGCCAAAGTAAAGACAACAAATGGCTACAACTAAGTCAGTTTTACAGATATAAAGCTAAAACTTGCAATGGAAGTTGCTGAGCCTATTCCCCAACTTATACTCTGAGTGCTCCTCCAAAATTGTTGTCACAGCTATTTTTATTCATTTATTTACCTTTTCTTTAAATCCTATTAAGATCATAGATCTCAGCCTGAAGGCAGCCATGCATGTGTGTGAACTTAATTGTCATTAACCAGCAATAAAATGGTTATAACTCTGAGAATTTAACAAATATAACTTTAGCACAGAGGTTAACCCACACTGAAGGAGATCCAAAATAAATTGAGCAAAACAGTGCMCTTATTTTTAAACGAAATATGATTTTACTCTATTTCTACATGGAAGCCAGAGATGTGCATTCCTTTAATTAACAATAGGACTTTAATCTGCAACTTAAATATTCTTGTTTTTTTTCCTTCTACATTCGTCATTAATTCCAGATTTTTGTTGCCTTTTTTGTTACGTGAAAATTCATTTAAATGAAGTTTAAATAAATGCACAGCAGCAGCACCTCCCCCTCTTATTATCGAAGGTTTGAAAGGCAGGATGAGGTTAGATATTTGGGTTTCCTATGATAAAAAGTCTTTACAGAGAAAATGAAAACTGTCCCCAGAGAGGAAAAAGAAAAAAAAACACATCTTTACCCAATAAATCCAGATGCTTCTGAGCTGATGCATTGATTAAATTAGTAAACATCTTAATTGAATTAAAATCCAGAACAATGCTTTCTGTCTTTTTCCGTTTGCCTCTCTGTCTGTCCCTCTGACTGGAACATGTTGTTTGGATTACGCTATCATTACTATTGTCAGCAGCTGCTTTGATACTCTTTTTTTGTTTTGTCTCTGCTGATACCAGAACAACATTTGCACARTAAATCTGTATAGATGTCTATGAAATATAGGATTTTGAAACTCCTCAAATGGAGTTACACTCACATGTTTTTGGTTTTTCTTAGCACAGTACAGAGGTACTTACATATAAAMAAAAATACTAATCTTATTAGCTGGAAAACAATAAACACGCTTACTGGACTTGTAGTTTAACAGRCGTATTCACCTCCCTGTTGGTCCCCTGTGGTTTGTTGTGTTTCAGGTAAAAAGGCTCCCACCTGGAACATCTTCAGGACCAGAACTCTTGGTTGGACCACCTGTATCCTCGTCTGACCCTCCTGYCACGACCAAACCTGAGGTCACCCAGGCGCCACTCCAGTCCCGCCCTCCATCCCAGCCTCAGCTCTGTCCTCGGCCCGTTCAGCTCCTGCACGCGGGCCCTGGCTGCAGAGCGGGAGAACCCACCGCGGCACGCTCTCACCAGGGTTCAGCTGTTCACCTGTCAGCTGATTCCGCCTGCTCTTCCTCATCTCTGCCAGGTAGGAGTCCCGAGTTAAAAACCTGCGACCATGCCACAGTGGGGAGGAAATGTCACCCGAATGTCAGCAGCTGTGGGGAAGGAAGAACGACYGGCTTCTCTTCAAGCAACGTGAGCGTGAATGAGCTTGAGGGTAAATTTAAATAAAGACAGGGAGGAAAGCTTGCCAGAAGAAACACTGCGTTAACAAAAGGATGTTTTCTTTATTAGATTATGCGCCAAAACCCAAGAGATTAGCTTAGGTAGCAAGACCAGCCCCGTCAGTGATAGCTCACATTTAATATTAATGTTTTACCAGATTAATCACTTTAAAATTCATTCTCTGCATTTTTCCCATCACACATGTGGAGCGGAGGACTGCCTTTTACGAGAGCCTGGGGAACAGCTGGTGGGTTAAGGGCCTTTCTGAAGGGCTCACAGTGGGAGGAATGAAGGCAGAGCTGGTCCTTCACCTTCACCTTTCCCAACAAATTCTTGTGTCAGTTTGGGGAATCGAACCTGTGACCTTCTGATCATAAACAAAATGTCTAAAATCAGCCTAGAAGGCATAAAAACTGTGCAGGCACAATTTATATTTACAAATTTGGTTGTAAATTTAAAACAAACAAAAATAACTGGCATATTTGTATTGGCATTAGTTTGTTTGCTTGATTTGTTCAACTTTTCATTCCAAATAAAAAATGCAGTTTTCTAGTGAAATAGCTTTTAATCAAAGTAGTTTTGCTTGTTACCGGTTTAATCTATTGCCAGGGAAACCAAGTCTAAGTCTAAACCTACATGTCAAATTTAGTTGCTCCGTCAGTGATAAATTTCCAAACTCTGAAAAAATAAAAGAACCTCTGATGTCTTTTTTTTAGTTTTTTGACAGTGCAATGAATCCTGGGATATCGTCGGCTGCGTAGGATWCCAGATGCAGCCTATGTTTTTGGGGTTTTCTCKGCCGCATTTGCCGGCTCCTCAGACTTGGGACAGCCTACATCGTTGGGCAGTGACGTGTGCCCTATGTTGGCTACAAYCCCTGAATTGAGACACAGCCAATAATTGGTGGCAGGTGGTGATTTTSTCGCTTTCATTGGCTGACAAAAATRTAAAAAAATCCAATTTTTGCCATTGCTGRATGTCAAACCTCTTCAGTGCCTGATTGTGGCTGTACCTGCCTTTCCTTGATGCTAACGTGACGTGGAATGTACGACTAATGTCTCCAAYCAGGGCAGGAAGAAAAGACAGAGGAGRGAAAACGCGACATGAACAGAGGGACAGGAAAAAAATTGTCAAGAAAAAGTTTCGGTAACGCTTTCTTCAAAATTTAGTTGCATTCTTTTGGTTATAAATATAGTGTTGAGTTACTATTGAATAGTAATTTGATTGTACTTACCCAATAAAGATAGTTTTACTAACAGTAGTTTTTTCTTTTGTACCCTAATTACCATGTAATTACATAGTAATAAGATAGTAATTACATTTAATAACATTTTTATGACCTTGTAATTACATGGTAATAAGGGTACCATAAAAGAAATCTTTACCAAAGTTTTTGTGTTGCAGAAAGAAAGTCACTCCAGTAGACCACAGTTTGCTGATCAATAAGCAGTGTTTGGACATTTTGACATCAACCTAAGTTGTGACGGACAAAAAAAATAATGTCTGATAGTGATACGGATAATTGTTATAAATRCCATGATATACAGTTCTGGTCATACCGCCCAGCACTACTTCCAGCACTATCTGTCAAAGGAGTCAAATATACTCAATAAGCTCAATTAGTATTCATATAGGACAAATATTACTGGCTAGTATCTTTATTAATACTCTCTGTTTCCCCCTTTTTCTTTCTTTCTTTCGTGCACAGCTCATCTTTATTTAACAGTTCTGAAAAGTTTCTGGGGTGCTCTGCTTTAAACATCACACAGGCTTTTTAATTACAAATGAGTTGTGACAGGTCTGCTGGGTAGCACCCTGGCCCATTTTAAACGTGATGCCGGCTGACAGCTTGGCAGTGTTCTCCCAGCACTGAAACATGTGGAAGAAATTGGTCTTTTACATTTCACAGCTTGTCGCTTCCTCCGCTAGCTGACCTGTGACCCCCCACCGAGATTCTAGCGCCCACAAGGGAAGCGTCCCCAACGAACCGACTGCCTTTCCAAAGACCGAGAAGGAGCGCAGGAGAGGCAGAAACCCACTTTCTGTGGGGGGTTTGTGCTCTGCCCCACGAGGCAAAACGCCCAAGCTCTCGCACAAGCGTAGAACGAAAACGAACAGCCAGGTGAGGAGGTTGCTTAGGAAGTGAACCTGATCCACCAGTGAAATAACAGATCAAAAGGTGTCCAGAACAACACCTCATCCGCACCGTTCTCTAAGCCAACCTGACGTCTGCGCCTCATTTGCATACAGATCAGTTCATGTTGCATTACCTCTGGAGTGAATTATGGCACGCAGATGGAGGGATACGTCAAGGCAAAAGGGAGCSATTGGACGGACAACTTTAACTTTGCCAAAAATGGAAATCCAATTCTGTGCTGGAAAGAGGAACAAATTATGCTCCCTTCCTCGGTTCATAGCCAAATTGTGGGGTTCTCAGAGATTTCCTTCCTTTGTCACGCCTCCCTGTTTCTGATATGTGCCGTGTGGAGAACACTTTCTCTGTGGATTTTACACATTTGTCTCAAAGTTACTGATACTGAACACGAAGCAGAGTTTGACAGTGAGACAGGAAGTAAGTATTAATGAGGGCTTAAAATAATTAATCCTCATTAAAACAAAGTTTTCCAAAATAATAGCTTTGACAAGTTGTAATCAGAGATTTGAAAGATGACTGTAAATGCTGTTGTGGGTAAATTTATACTGTAAATCTGTGTTTAAGATAAATTATGGAAATAATCTGATTTACCTCAGATGACTTGTCTAAGCATAATGAAGTGTATTTGGCTTCTGATTAGCTCGAGGCGCTGTGGGTTTAGTGACCTTTCACATTAACTGAATGATCCAGTTACACTGGGTTTGTTTGAACCCAAATGACTAATTAGATCAGTGTCTTGTTTCTTGATCGCCTGTAGTGGATGACTATGAGTGTGCAGATGAAACTGTATCGCTATTTCTTTATTTATTCATTTGTATCTTTTGTTTGTTTTTCCATTTAACAAATTTATCTCAGAATTCGTATCCTTGAGCACAGAAAAAAAGTGTCTTTGTTGGAGCGCCTCCCTGTACTTTCAGGGTTCCCCCTCCTCCAGGTTATCTCCCAGTTATCTGAATTTCCAACCACATTGTTGCATCATCTCTCTATCAGTCGTGCTTTTTGGTTTGTTTGTTACATAGGGAAAGTGAAAATAAGAAATTATTTTTATATTAAAGCAATTGAAAAACAAAAACATACAATTAATTTATTTTTATTTTAAACTTCAAAACGGGGAAAGAGTTTGTTGTTTTATTTTTTATTTATTTTATACTGTATAACCAGAAATTTAGCACTGTTACCAGACCATTTAAGGTGGAGTCAGCTTTTTAATAACAGCTGGCTGCCTGTAAATAAATTCTAGCTAACTACTTTTGCATTTCTTTAAATAACTACCTGCAGATATTTTATTATTATAACTAGCTAATCTCTTTTTTAAAAACTATTTCACTAGTGTCGCTTTAAGTGGAYTGATAACAGGATGAATAAGCACGTTAACTACAGTAGCTAACCAGTTAGCTGCAACAAATAAAAGCTAGCTAACTATTTTTGTACTTTTTTAATTAACCACCTGCAGACTATATTTTATTAATATAACTAGTCTAGTTAATTTCTTTTAAACTACTTCTTTAGCACCACTTCAGATGGTTTGATGGGATAAATAAACATATTAACTAGCAAACCAGGCAGCCTCAATAAATAAACACTAGCTAGCTACTTTTGCATTTCTTTAAACTGCCTGCAGACTGTATTTTATTAATATAGCTAGTCTAACTTATTTCTTTTTAAAAACTATTTCTCTAGCACCACTTTAAATGGTCTGATGATGGGATGAATAAACACGTTAACTAGCTAATCAGGTAGCCACAGTAGCTAACTATTTCTGCATTTATTTAGCAGGTGTCAGCTGGTACTTTGTATACAGTATCACTGATAATTCAAACAGCTTTCTGGAGCTTCTGGTGTTTTTTAGCACATTGGGTTTTACTCCAACAGGTACATGGGGCTAAAAGACAAACCGTTTTTAGAGTTTAAAATGAAGAAAGCTAATAACCATCAGTTTTTTAAATGTTTTTACAAAGAAAAATGAATGACCAAAAAGTAGATGGACCAGTAAACATAGAAAACCATACATTTGCACCACCACAAATTAGTGTTGTAGTCAAGACAACCTAACCTGAGACCAAGTCAAGACTAAGACCACACAGTGTCTCGAGACTTAGACAAGACCAAGACTTTTAGGGCCCGGACCAAGTCGAGACCAAGACTAATGGAGGGCGAGGCCGAGTCAAGACCAAGACCAGAAAAAAAAAATTAGTGATGGAGTATAGAGATGGAGTATTCTGTACAAATGTACCTAACCTAATATAGAGAGCTAATATTGACAAAATTTTTGAAAGCAATAATTTTGCTACAGAGGCAGATTAACGTTAGTGACGATAAAACTTTAATGTCCCCACCGTCTCTGAAWGTGAAGCACTGCAGAATTTAAAAGTTGCTGTACGATTTCTCCTGGTTGTTGTTGTTTTATAACGATATTGTTTATGTTGCCAAATTGTTTTACTTAAAAATTTCTACCCCTTCCAGAGAACCACGGTTCACTTTCTGGGAGTGCTTGCGTGCGAGTGACGGTGGGTGGGGATGAGTGACAGCCCGTAACAAAAATACATAAATAGCAATGAGTCAGGTTTGAATTTGAATCAGTAGCTACATTTTAAATCCAATGAAAGCAAGAATGTTAATTAATAAATTGGACAATGTTATTGGACAAATTGGCTATATAGTGATATTTACACAGTTGTGGTCTTGACTGGTCTTGAAATAAAATTTCGAGTCCTCATTGTCTGAGACAACAACAAGACCGAGTACAAATGCTGTCGAGTCCGAGACAAGACCAAGACCATCAAAAAGTGGTCTTGAGACCAAGAACAGTCTCAAGCACTACAACACCACCACAAATACACCTACAAGCAAAAATGTGATGGTTACCAAAATGCAAAGAGTTCTCGAACTTTGTTTCATAAGCCAAACTGTGTTAAAATAATTACAAAGGAGCACATATTATAACTTAGTGAGCATCTGTAACTGCCATTAAAAAGCAGCTGATTAAAAGAAAATACTCTCTTGAATGGATCAACACCAAATCCTTGCAGTATCGTAGCAACCATAGCACAACATCCTGTTCTGGACTCAGGGGCAATCTGTGAGTTTCTAACCTTTGATTCTTCTGCAAATTTCGACCAGTCATCGGGCAATTAGGAGGCTAGGTGTGCAAGAACTGGCATCTCGCTCCGGTTCCATCACACTGCTAACACGGTGATGGRGAGTGCTACAGAGGTGGAGCCTGCAGGCTTTTTTCCTTTACTCAACCTGACTTTGTTTGTAAGCAGCACACTCTCGCATTTCTACCCTTGAAAAATATTTGTGCATATATGCAAGTGTCCGCATTGATATCTTTTGCCTTTCGGTGTGTGGGTGCATTGACGCGGTGCTGGATGAGCGTGTGTGCTGGTTCTTAACGTAGCTCAGAGCGCAATGGGGGGAGGAGGATAACAAGGAGTTCGTTGTTGGCCTTGGGTGCCCGGAGAGGCTGGAGTTGTGGCGGCTTCAGCGCTCTGAGTTCACGGACGTAGCCCTTAGCTGTCAGAGCTGTCGATGCTGCCTCCGCACTGATTTTGGTTCCACAGCATCTGACCACCAGCGAGTGGGGCCTGGTGCAGCGAGTGTGTGTGTTTGGTGGTATGAAAGCATGCGAATCCATGGGGGAATCCAAGTCCATGAGTTTGGACAGTTGTTTTTGCTAATAGAGGCTGAGAGGTGTGTGTGTGTGTGCGCGCTCATGCAAGGAAAAGATGGTCCTGGGTTGTACTGTTCCGTCTCAGGGTATCTGCACAAGGACACACACATTGTTGGCTTTAATTGAGCATTTACTCAAAGTTCGACTCAGAATTTCGTAAATAAAATCAAGGGTGCTTTTGCACGTCAGTTTAAAAATGAAAACCTTCTAAAAATGCAAATAAATAAATAAAAAATACACTAAAGTATGTTTACACTGTGTACACAGACATTTGATTGATTTCAATGCTGACACATAATTGAGATTGCACTTATGTAATGCCAAGAAAATGTTCGAATAAACATTTTCATCCCACGAATAGAGCAAAAATAACTTGATTACCCTGCAACTGTGAAAGCTTTAACTGTTTACCAGCGGAGTGATGGTAAATAAAAGCCCCATTTGTGTGAAATCTGATTTTAGAGTCACTTTTAAACACGGATGAGCAGACTCTTCTCCCCCATTTGCATGTACTACACTTTAGCTGTCAGAAAGATGTTTTATATGCGGCCTATATTTAAGTTATTACTACTGATATATTTAATCCCGTGGCAAGAAAAAAAATTATATCTTTCCTGAGTTTTCCGTATGTATTATATAGATGTGATTGGTTCCATCAGGGGAAAGTTTCACATAGGAAGATTTCTACACTTACYAAGCTAAGGTTTACTTAATTACAACCTCCAGGCAAAGCAGGAGCCCCTTTTTTTAAATTCTCTGAATGTTAATATGCTAAATAATGCAGATCCTCAACACTTCAAGCATGAGCCACACATCTGGCAGCTTACCATTTAAATTACAGCAAAAGAAGTGAGACAGATAGGGAGAAAAGGGGGGAGATGGCGGATGGAAAACACTTCAAATGTAATTTTACAAAGAACAGAAGAAAAGGGGGAATGTATCGCCACCCAGCTTCATTTCTGTGCCGATTTTTCATAATTTTCAATTGCATACATTAGAGTGTCAAAACCCTCCAATGTATGGCTCAGCTCTGGAGGAGAGGGAAATTACCGTGTAGTGACAGTTAATGATGGTTCCTCTCTGCATTAAAAACACAACTTTGTTGAATTTGCATCTTTCCTGATATCAGAACAAAATATCTGTTTTGTCTGAGCACAAAGACGAGACAAAAAAGAAATTAATGTTGCTCTAATAATCAAAGGGTGACAAAAAAATCCTGAAAATGATGGTTTTCTTTTGCATAACTGCTTTGAAACATTGTGATAACTTTGTTTCGCTTCTTCTCATTTATATGTTAAATACTGACTAAATGTTTTCTGTACTTTCAATAACTTTTTTTTGTAATTTGAATTTTGTTGTATTTAGTGTTACTAAATAATGTGGTTAATCTGGCTGAAAAAAGTTTAAAAAAAATTGCACACTTGCTGCACATTTATTTTTTTTTATTTTTTGGATGCAGGGAAGCATCACTCCCCAGAAGCCTGTTCTGGAAAAGTTGGAGAGAAGAGTGATCCATGTGAGGAGAAAGCAGAGGAGGCCATTCTCTTCAAGGTAAATCTGAGATWAACCAGGACAAGTCCTGACCCTTAAAAAAAACAAGCACTCTGTTTTCCCGTTTCCTTTCCTTCCCACCTCTTTCTGTACACCCTACACACACTCACACTCTCACACACACACCTCCCCAGCTTATTATCTGAGATTTGTCAAAATACATTTCACACTAACAGGTAGTTTTCAGCCTTCAAAGCCAGTTTTGATGTGCTTGACAAGCCAAAGCAACTCAGATTCTGTGAAATCAGCAATGCCAGTCAGGCCTTTTTTTTTCCCTAAACCATCTGAAAACCCGCCTCTTCCTGTGCCACAGAAGACTTAAGCTAAATGAATCAAAGCTTGCATGTTAGCTGCCACACTTTGAAGTGGTAATTGTAAAATGACTCTGTGTGCTGATCTGGCCTCGCTGCCTCCCGGTCCGTCCCCGCCGCYGCCTTTTGTTGTTTTGATGTTATTGTTCAGGTAGTTAGAAGCTGCTTTTGTTTCGCGTTCTCCTCTTCTGCCTCCCGACAAGTTTTTCCCTTCCTGCTAACCTCCTTTTGTTGATCTACCAGAGGCTCTTCGGCGCGCCATTAATCAGCGATGACCTGCTAAATAAATGAGTTTGTTGATATGAGGTTTTATTTCCCTGAAACCTCCACAGACCGTGTTTTCTCTTCCCCGTTTCCGTCTCGTCTTTTAAAACCTGTCAAACGTTGCGGCGTTGAACCCAGTTGTCTAATGATTAAGTGGAGTGATCTCCAACCTGCCCCAGCCTGGGAGCACAAGGGATCAGATTTCAGCCCTTCAACCTGCAGTGCAGGCCTAATTAAAATGAATTTTCTCCAGGCAACCACTTTGCCCACAGGGCTGGAATCCAGCTCTAAACGCAACCCTCCTCTTAAGGTATTGCATTAAATTTATTGTGTGGAGACACCAGAGAACATTGTGGTTTATATATCTTCTGCATTTTTTTCCCCTCTCACTCTGCTTTCCTTCTTGCTTCTTTCTACCTTTTTATTGTGATCATCACTCTGGAGTCCAAGCTTGCTTTGGCGTAGATTGCACTATGAAAACGGATCGAGCTTTTATGGGACTCTGCCCTTTTTTACAACTTCCTGGGCCCAGTTTATGTCAGAAGAAGAGACAAAGAATGAGYGATGGAGGGCAGGAATGAGGGGAAAAAATTGGAAGTGAGGAAAAAAAAGGTAGAATGAGGGAGGGTTATAAGAAAGAGAGAGGTGGCTTCTTCCAACTGTGGATCTCATTAACATACATCAGTGTGTATGTCACAACTTCAAGCAGAAAGGCACTAAGCCCACCCAAGGGCAACACAGACGGGGCTGACAGGGCCAGGGAAAGCAAGCCGTTAACATGTTGGCGGCTTAACAAATACTATCTGCTCGCAAGTACCTTGGTGGAAAAAATTTAAATCCTACTTCCTAACTCAGTTTGTGTTTATGACGCTGACAGTAAACGACTTGTGTGGAAAAAAAAAAACAGTGCCAGCTGCTCCGATATCACATATTTAACGCCACCGTCACCGTACACATGTTCCCCCAAATGAACTCCACTTGAATGATGGCGTGCCGTATGCGATTTCGCCGTCACTCTTGTCTCGTGTCAATTGAGGCGCGGGTGAGATATAGACGAAGCCTCCCCGAAAATGCCACACACACTGTCGGTGTCGCCGCGTGCATCCCCCAAGATAAATTCAAAAGGCCCCCGTTTCCTGCTTTGATTACAAATGACATCCGTATGTGCTCTCCCCGATTTTCTGTTCCTCACAGGAGAAGCCAATCAAGAAGACAAATAGCTGCGGCCCCAGCGTGAGCGGCAGAAGTGCGCCGCCTCTGCAGGCAGACAAACAGAGGATGCACGCTTCAGTGGGAAACCTCTCCACGGAGGAGATGGAGGGGTACACGTTTGTCTTACAGTAAGTCTAGCTAACCCTTCTCGCAAATTTTCAGAYGAGGGAAAAAAACTAAACTGGCAGCAAAAAGTGACAACATGTGCCCTGAACACTTTGGGAAATAATTTGATGATTTTACACGAAATCTCACCTAAATCTCATTAAACTCGGCTTTTATTTAACATGAAATAACGATGAGAAGTAAATCTTAGCCTCAGCTGCCCTTAAAATAATGAGCAACAACCAGAGTTGTAAAGTAATTAAGTACAAACACTTTGTTACTGTACTTAAGTAGAATTTTTGGGTATCTGTACTTTACTTGAGTATTTTTCAGCCTATATTTTGCTTTTACTCGTTACATTTTTACACAATTATCTGTCCTTTCTACTCACTACATTTTTTAAAAAGGTAAGAAGTAGAAAGTTGTTACTCCTATTTTATTCTGAGTTATTACTTTAAAAATACTGTCCTGATAAACTGTGTCTCCTGGATAAAGTGAATTTAACTGTGGTTGGATGAGAAGTATAAATATTTACCATTCTGACACACTAATAGCTTGTACACAACCCATCACAGCTGCACGCCGTTAGAAAAAATATTTTCTACTATTATTTTGGAAAATCCAACTGCTCACTTTTACTCAGTACTTTTACTTTTAATCCTTAASTAGATTTTGTCAGRAATTTTCTTTTGATACTTAAGTACAAAAAAWATCAGATACTTTAAAACTTTTACTCAATATTTTTAGAGAAGATTTTAACTTTTACCAAAGTATTTTTATGATAAGATACTTGTACTTTTACTCAAGTATCACCTTGAGGTACTTTATACAACACTGGCAACAACTGACTTAATGGGGACTTTATTGTCTGTTGGAGTTAAAATGTGTTTATAAAGKTATACAAGTGTGATCTGTAACAGTTTTGCATCTGAACAACCAGGACATTGTTTTAATCACAGCACAACTTGTTTTTTTTTTCTTTTTTTCGCTTAAAAAACATGGGTGTACCTTAGCACAGTGTTTCCCAAAGTTGGGGTCGGGACCCAAAGTGGGGTCCTGAAACATCAAGGTGGGGTCCTGAAAAGATTTTCTGAATTAATTACATTTTTGCCTTAGTTGTTACAAAGGTGTGAGGTTATTTAAAAATGGATAAATGTAGTATAAAAATATTGTTACTATGCCCATGTTTAGTTGACCTGATACAAATGTTTATCATCCAAAAATAGTTGGGGACACAGGTCTCTGCTACTGTTATTTTGTGGGTCAGAAGCTGAAATGTTTGGGAACCACTGCACTTTGGTTCCCAAAGTTGGGCTTGGGACCCAATTAAGGGTCATGAAGCACCTTAGATAATCTCCAGAAATCAATTTAAAGGGTGATGATGTAATATTTTCCCTATAATTATTACAAAAACACAAAATTAGTATAAATAAGAATTTATATTTGTGTACAAGCTGTTTAGATCGTCAAAAAGCCTGTGTTTTTAGGGTTGTTAACAAAGTTTGTGTACTCAGACCAGTAATATTTGGGGTCACAAGTTTTTGCCATGGATATTTTGTGGGTCAGAAGATAAAAAGTTTGGGAACCACTTCCTTAGCATATCATTTAAATAAAAAAAAAATCATGAAAACACAAAGACAGCAAAATGGGGAGAATTTCAAACCTGAACATTTAATTTGTCTAAAGCAACAAGGTGCCATCCAGCACGGAGCATGAAAACAGCCTAAAAAATAAATTAAAAATTAAACTGCTTATTCCAACTAAAAAATAAAAGTTGCAAGTATTTTTTATTTGAACAGCAGCTAAATTAAGGGGAGGAGATTACCAGACGCGTGGCTACACTTGAGGGTGGGCGAATCAGAGACTTTCTGTGCGTGTAACAGAAACATAAAGGGAAATTCTCCCTGGAGATTTTTTTTAAAGTATCCTTGTTTGCTCATTTCTGGGGAGTTTGTAATTTATAGCTGCTGGTCACATATTAAACAAGATCAGAGACTACTCCCTGACATCTTCTGAACATACTCGGGGAATTCAAATGATTACCGGAGCATCCTGCCAACAAATGACGACACCGGGACAATCTGGAAGGGGAGGGTCGGACACAGAAACAACACGAAACAGAGTGCTCACAAAGGAACACAATTAAATGGTTTTTCACAATTATTCATAGCGCAGCTTTTTACCTTTGAGCGGTAGCCGTTTGGGTAAAATGAGACGTTTCTGTCAGTTACAGGTACGAATTGTATTGAGCTGGAACTTGGGCTTTTCCCCGATGCCCTGTGAAGGTGCTGCTGCTATTGATTTCATCTTTACAAGCTCACGCATTACAGTATCTGTGAGCTGAAGGCGTCTCTCCTGCCCTCTCCTCATCAGACTATTAGAAAGATCCAGCGCCGGTGTTGAATTTGACAACAAAGGCGGAGAGGCGGCAGTCTCCAGCTCACACCCTCGCCCGTCTTTTCCCACCGTGGCGTTCCAATCGCTCACGGCCTCTCTGCATCACCTGAAAACTCACAGAGATCAAGAAAAAACGGGGATTTATTATGGATTTATCTTTTAATTTTATTTGTCATTGTGATTTTATCTCATTTCTTCTGGCCTTTTTTTTCGCAGCTCGGCTTGTTTTCACTCCCTGACTATATGTGTTTATGTTTTTGTGCACAGTTTACCCACTGAGTGTGCACACGTCTGCATATTCATGTGTTTTAAGTGCGAAAGGGGATTCATACTGCAGTGATTGAGGGATATTACTGCCATCTATTGAGCCACAAGAGGCTTAGCTCGTTGGGATTTATATGGGGCATCCTGACACAAACGTGCAAATCAGAGGCTGATGCATAATTAAGCAAACAGGAAGATTCAGTTCGGATAAGAATGACACAAATACTGAAACACGGTGCACCCAGATAAAAGTCACAATAAGGAGCATTTCATTCAGCTGGTGAGATAAATGTACAGACATGGAGAGTGTGTTTCCATTACAGCACATATACATGACTTTAAATCTACAAACAGCAAAACAGTCCTWATCAGAGTGTGTAAAAGTAGAAGTACAAATAAAGTAACCTATAAGGTTTGCATCAACACAATAAGACTTTTTTAAAAATAAAAATAATAATGTTTCTATTTTAAGCAATGCTTTATTGATACCTGAAACATAAATAGGTGTCGTATTATAACCTTTATTATAGTTCAGATTTTTATTTTTAAATGTGACATAACACTTCTGGTAATGATTTGATTCAGTTAACTTTTAGAAACTTCAGTTCCAGGTGTGCAGCATCAAAAGTGAAACYGTCAGCCTAAAAAGAGGTAGAGGAAGCCTCACACAGGGAACCATAAAACTCATAAACCACTGGTTGCAGCTTCAGAGGAAACACAAAGTACTTCCGCTGCAAGTATTGACAGTTTGGAGGCAGATGAAATGGAGTATGAGAATGAGTTAGGAATGATTCATTGTGTTTTTTAAGAGTCATGCTGCTGATATCAGTTTGAACATGCATGAAAGACTAATGCAAACCCTCCTATTTTTTAATTTAGTACACATAATTAAAGCACTTTATCCAGTAGAGTTCTTCTGAGTGAAGCTAAACATAGTTCATGAAGTTTGCTTGTGGAAAATTTGGCAGAATCATAAAATATCATCTGTAAATATATATATATATATAATACACACACATATATTTTTTCTTCCACTTATCACCTCTCTGTGCACATGTTGTTATTTTTTTTACAAAC